AGACTTGCATAGTTAAATCATGCTTTTTTGATGCAGACATCAACATGAAACTATTTCTCATTAATGAAATAATAGTTCTGCTTATCTTTGCTTTAAAGAAACCATTATTTGAAAATCTAAATTTGATTGTGTTATAGTAATCCCTTTACTAGCAAAATGGATGTATTCTAGTGACCCGTTTTATTTTCATAAATTTTGTGCCTAGAGGTAGAAATAATATGGGAGACATATACAGTATGGTACTTTGTGTTATAGTATGTCATAAAAAGGGAGATTATTGCATAAAATATCCTTAAATGGGAAAAACTTAATGTTAAATATGTTGGAAAATAATAACAATAGCTAGGATTTATTTAAAACTTGAAGATTTAAAAATTTTTTTTTTTTAATTTTTAGGCAATTAGGGTTAAGTGACTTGCCCAGGGTCACATAGCTAGTAAGTGTCAAGTGTTTGGTCTGAAGCGGGATTTGAACTCAGGTCCTCCTGACTTCAGGGCTGGTGCTCTATCCACTGTGCTACCTAGCTGCCCCAGAGCTTGAAGATTTACAAAGCATTTTATGTGTTATCTCATTTGATCCTCACAACACCCCAGTGAGGTAGATACTATAATTATTCCCATTTTATAGATGAGAAAATGAGACTGAGAAGGGTTATATGACTTGCCCATGGTCATGCTATTACTGTCTGAGGAATGATTTGATGTATTTGATGTTGTTTGATATATTTCTATATCAAACTCTGTGTATATTCAATCATCTTTTGTCTATTTCAGATAGACATGGGGTTTATCTGAAATCCAGTACCCCCACCTCATCCTGTACTTTGTATAGTCTTCTCACATAGCCCCAATTATGAGAAATACTGTGTACCATACCATTCTCTCACATCATCAACATATTCCTTTTACCACCCTTTCTCTTTCCCTTCATAAAACCCTTAGATCAGTATCAATCTATTCCCAGGTCTTTTGTTTTTCTTATTTAACTCCTTCAGTCTCCTTTAAATATAGTGAGGTTTTGAAGGGATACTTGCTATTTATTAGATTGTTAACACTATGTGATTATACAGCCCCTTCCAAATACTCAAGTAATTTACCTTTTTAGATTTCTCTTGACTCTTATATTTCAAAGTTTCTGCTTAGCTCTGGTCTTTTTTTTTTCTTTTTTCTTTTTTTTTTTAAATTTTAATCAGAAAGGCTTGAAAGTCCTTTTTTATTCAAGGTCCATTTTGTTCCCTATGGGGATTATGCTCACAAAGTGAACTCTTCTTGGTTGTAAGACTATTTCTCTTGCCATATATAGCAAAAGCTGCCAAGTCACATGTGATTCTGAATGTGGTTCCTTGGTACCTGAAGTCCTTCCTTCTGGATACTTGGAGTATATTTTCTTTGACATGGAAGCTTTTCAATTTGACTATGATATTCCTGGGACTTTGGGAAGTTTCTTTCAGGAAGATATTAGAGGATTCTTTCTATTTTTACCATAATCTCTGATTCTAAGAATAATCATAAATCTAAAGTATCTATGCTTTAATATATATATTATATTATATATATATCTATATATAGATATATATATAGTTTTTAGGGAGTCCAAAGATTTTTAAATTATCTCTCCATGGCCTGTTTTTCAGTTCAGCTATTTTTAATATTAGATATTTTATATTTTCTTCTTTTTAAATATTTTGATTTTGTTGTAATAGTTCTTTCTGCTTCATGGACTTATTGATTTCCATTTAGACTATTCTAATTTTCAGAAAGTCTGTTACATGGGTAAGTTTTTTGTTTTGTCTCATATTACTTTCTGTTCTTTGCTATTTGTTTTTCTTCCAATTATTTCCTCCAGGGATTTTTTTTTTAGTCTCTTGCTTTAGTTCTTCTAGATATCCCCATGTTCCTTGTAGAAAATCCATGTTTTTTCTCACTTTGAGTCTCTGCTTGTAGTTGTTACGGAGGTATTTCCTCATAATTTGGGTTTGGGTGCATCTGGGTCTACAATGATTTTTTTATAGTGATTAGTGTTTTATTCAGCTTAATCATCACTCTAGCTTTAGTTCTTCAGCTAAAGGCCAGGATCTGCCCCTTGCTGGGCTTTTATTTTTGAAGATGGGGGTAGTTATCTTTGCTTTGGGTCATATGAGGTCTTGTATTGACCTCCACCTCTCTTTGTCAAGGCCTCTTGGATCTTTGAGGTTCAGAGTCCTGGGTCTTCAGGGCCCTCAGTGGAGTTTTAGAACAGAGCGCTAAAGACTTTGAATCCTCTGGATTCTAGATAGTCTTGGTCTCTGAGCATTGTAGAGGTGTAATTGGTGCTACAATTTGGCCTGCCCACTTGTTTGCCTTCACTGTCATCAGCTGTACCGGCAGCCTGCTTTCCTATTGCCTGTGGGCTTCTCTGCAACTTTTGGTATGGCCCTAGTGTAGAAGAAATCAGTTATGGTTGTTTCTGGATTTCTTGATCATTATTTGGTATGAGAGGAATTTTATGTTTTTGCTGGAATAGGTATGTGGGAGCTGGGCTATCTGTTACCATTTAGGTAATTATTTTGGCCTGAAGGTCAATTAATCTAAATTTGTTTCTTAAACTATAACATGATCCTAGTGCTTAATTGATAATGCTTTTAAATAGCAATAACAGTAACAGTTCTTGTATAATGTTATAAAGTTTTAAAATGCTTTACATAATTATATTATTTAATCCTTACAACAACCCTATCTACCTCACAATAGGTTCTATTATTATCCCTATTTTACAGATGAGGAAACTGAGGCTGAGGGTCTTGTTCAGAGTCACATAATTATTGAATGTCCAAGGTTGGATTTGAACTCAGGTCTTCCTGATTCCAATTCTATTACTTTATTGACTGCATCACCTAACAGCTTCACGTTTTATTTTTAATTCTTATTTTTTTACATTCCCTTTTTAATTTACATTCACTTTAAAATTTTGAGTTCCAAATTTTCTCCTTCCCTTCAGCCCCTCCCTTACCAATTGGGAAGGCAAGCAATGTGATACCCATTGTACATGTGAAGTCATGCAAAAAAAAATCCATATTAGCCATGTTTTGCGCTCCACCCCATCCTTTGACTCCACTAGTGAAAAAAAAAAAAACAGAAAATGAAAAAAAATGTGTTTCAGCTTGCCCTTAGAGTTCATCAGTTCTCTCTCTGGAGGTGGATAGCATTTTTCATCACGATTCTTTTGGAATTGTCATGGATCATTGTACTGATCAGGGTAACTAAGTCTTTCATAGTTGATTATTGTTACAATGTTACTGTTACTATGCACAATGTTCTCCTGCTTCTACTAACTTCATTTTGCATCAGTTCACCTGAGTCTTCCCAGGTTTTTCTGAAACCATCCCCTCCTCCTTTCTTATGGCACAATAGTCATACATCACCATCATATACCATAGCTTGTTCAGCCATTCCCCAATTATTGGGCATCCCCTCAATTCCCAATTCTTTGACACCACAAAAAGAGTTGCTATGAATATTTTTGTACATATAGGTAGAGTCTCACATTTTAAAGAAAACTTTCTTTTTTGTACCCTTATAATTAGGGGTTTTTTTTTGTCTCTTCTGCCCACTCTCCATCCCTTTGCTAAAGTTATTTTCCCCCCAAAGTCTATCACTTTCCTAGTTGTGGTTTCTGTCCAATTCAATAATTCTTTATATTATGTGTAGAATATTTAACATATTTTCTGCACTTAGTATAACATTTCATTTTGGGGTTGGGATGGAGTAAGAAAGGGTGTTTCTAGCCAACTACGTCAGTTCAGTCCTGTTAGAATAAGGTGTTTGTAGGGAGGGGGCAGCAGCATCCTCAACCATTGATTCTATCTTTATAACTTTGCCCTTTTAGAGAGAACGGATTACTTGTGTGGTGGTTCTGCATTGCACAGACAGAATCACAAGGAAGAAACTTTACATAAACCATTTATACTAAATGTTTGGTAGTCTGGTAACATAAATCAACAACAATATCCATTACAAATTCTTCCCTTTATCAGTATTATCTTGATAGAGCTCATCCCAACATGTGGGAATTTGAACCCTGCTTCAATACATCTAGTACCAAGTAATTAATTATTCAGGGCACACTGAACCTGGCCCCTGCAATGTAGAGTAATTCTTCCTGGTCAGCGTTAACTTCAGTGGCGATAATAAATAGAAAAAGTCTCCAGTGATGTCAGTATTTTAAAGTGATTAATCATTTCCTCTCCCCTTTCCCTCCCTCCTGCACTTTAGTTTTCTTTAACTAGGATTTTTCAGCAATAAATCTTTAACAATACAGGTAAGAATTGTTCTGTAATTAAATTTTGCTCTTTTTAATGTCTTAGCTTTTATGGGAAGTTCTTCAGATGATACACTTTAAAAAAAAAAAAACCCTGAACTTAAAACTCAATCAAGAAAATTCATTTATGGAAAACCTGAAATTTTAGAGAAAAGGTCCCTGGAAAGCTCAATTTTTTGCCATGTCTTATTTTGTATCTTGCATAGTGCCTAGCATAGTGTCTTGCAGGTAGTCAGCATCTGGTAAATGCATATTTATTGAAAGGATTTTTAATATAAGGTAGAACTTATGCTCATCAAAATTGCTAACCCATCTTATAGAAGGTATTTCATATTCTGAAATTCTTGCATTACTTCCCTTCTGGAAGATCAAAGGGAAGGCTTATTTGTATATTTATCCTAAAATGTGGTGGATAATAATTAGAGTTTTTTAAATTTTCTTGGGTACTGATGTCAGCTCTGCAGAACAGTGGTGTTATCTATCTCTGTGGGGTATAATATTGCATTTGCTAGTGCTAAATAGCAGGGTAATGCCCTGACCTAGAATAGGCCATGTAAATAATCCCTGATGGATCTGACCAGCCATCATGTATATTCTGGGTGACAGGGACAGATGTGACAGATCTGTTGTGACATACATCCATACCATAAGTCAGTGGCTCGAGGTGACTCATGTCCTTCCTTTGATTCCTTCCCCTGCTGCAGGACAACACAATGATGCAAGGATGAACCTTGCCATTGCACTCACTGCTGCCAGGTATGGGGCTGCCACGGCCAATTATGTTGAAGTGAGGAATTTGTTGAAGAAGAAGGACCCAAATACTGGGAAGCTGCGTGTGAGTGGTGCACAGTGCAGGGATATGCTAACAGGTATGTGCATTGCTTGTCTTTGCTTCATCTAATTATTGAATTCTTACAGTTTTGTCCATCACCTCACTCTCATTCAAGCTAGATTTCAGAATCACATTAATACCATTCCTTACTCTCTAACTGTGGTTGAACAGGAAAAATTGCCTTTATAGGTTTCACTGATTTTTTTTTTCCTCAGGGGGAGGAGGGCTTGCTATTAAAAAAAAAATCCCCAGGTAAGACTCCCTCAGCTAAGAATGCTTTCACAGAAGCATGTTATGAATAAAATGAAATAAGCAAGTTGAGTTTTTAAATATCACTTAGATGACATAGACAGAGCATTTGCAAAGCACAGTGGTGTCTTTAACTTCTGTCAGGCTTTCATTCATGTTCTGGTTCTTCGGCAGTATGGGTAAGGTTTCATAACCAAATCCTTCTTTTGAGCAAAACCAATGCTCTGAAAGTATCTGATGGCATCCTTGTTTTAGAAGTTCATTTTAAAGAAGGAAACAGCTTATTTTCTTATTGTGGTTTCTTGGGATTTGGTTCTCTAATACTTGATATTTCAGCAAATTAGAATGGGAGCCCACATGAAATGAGTGACATATTTTCTTTGCTTCATTTTGTGTGTGTGTGTGCGTGTGTGTGTGTGTGTGTGTGTGTGTATAAAATAACCCATATGGGAACCTTTTGCACTGCTTTTTCAGTGATTCCAGCTGCTCATGTCACTTAATGTGGCATACAATATACTTCACCATAGGTTAAGTTAATAGATAAATTAATAATCCAAAACATCAGTGAGCAGAGAAACAAATGGGATCTGTGATTGATGCTGTTTTCTTTCACAGGGCAAGAATTTGAAGTGAGAGCCAAATGTGTTATCAATGCTACGGGACCTTTCACAGACACAGTGCGCAAAATGGATAATCAGACCACCACAAACATCTGTCAGCCAAGTGCTGGGGTACACATTGTGATGCCTGGTTATTACAGGTAACCAGATTCCAAGATCAACCTTTTGCGCTAGTTGGTGTTTGCAGCTAGAATGAGTGAAATTCCCCAAAGACAACCCATAATTTTTTAGATTTGTCTTTTGACTCACCTTTCCTAATAAGTAGAATTGGTTAGCTACTTAAAAAGAAGGAAATGTAATAAACTGTTCTCTTATGATATATAAACAAAAAGGATTCATTTAGATATTCAACTCTATTAAGATACATTTTTAAAATTACATTTAAAAAGAAAAGTAGAATAGATGATAAATGTAGTCTAATAGTTCTTAGCCAACTATGAGAAGATTAACTTCTTAGGGGTAGAGATTTGTGATCTCTCTATAAGAGTAGTCAGTCCTGTATATTTATTTGCTCAGAATAATCCATTGAACATGAATATACTGGAATTGTTTCAATTTAACCAAGTTTAGGAATTCTTCCTTTAGACTGAAATATCTATTTAGGTTGTTCTTGGTATTATGGTGTTTTACATGAGAGATAGACACAGAGACAGAGAGTGACAGAGAGATTTGGGCAGAGTTGGATACGGTCTCACTGCAAGGAAAGTCTTGGGGACAGGGGGGAGAGGGGCCATACACCTTATTCCATAAACATTTATTAACTGCCTGTTATATTCAAGGTACTGCATTAGGTTTGAGCAATACAACGACAAAATGAAACTGTCCTTGCCCTTACAGAGCTTACAATTTTTTCTTAATTGAGTTGCTTCAGTCGTGTCTGATGCTTCGTGACCCCATTTGGGGTTTTGTTGGCAAAGATACTGGAGTGGTTTGGCATTTCCTTCTCCAGCTCATTTTATAAGTGAGGAACTGAGGCAGAGTTAAGTGACTTGCTCAGGGTCACATAGCTAGTAGAGATTGGAGTTGAACTCTTGTCGGCCTGATTCCAAGCCCAGTACTCTATCCACTGCGCCACCTATAGGTGAAGTATCTTACTGCATTTTAATTCTTTAGAAAACAACAAACTTCTTTGGATTGGGTCTAATATTTACCTGCTTAAATACTTTATGGATGCATTTTGTATTTGTATCACAATCATGGTTGGAAAAAAAACAAACATCAAATCTCTTACCTTCCAGATTGAATCCCTCCTGGAACATTAAGGAAAAATAATTAAGCACAAACATATTACAGAGTATGTAGTGTTCTGCCTTAGTAGTCTTCCTTATCCCATCCCCCCCACCCCCACTCCTTTTTTTTCAATGAAGAGTTTGCTTCAGTAAATAATCTCCAGGATTTTCTGTGATCTTTCAGGTACTGAAAGTTTACCTTCTGATTAGTGATCTTTTTATTTTCATTACATTAAAAAAATCTGTTATGTTGTAATAACCTTGAACATGAGGCATTCATTACCTTATATAGTTCTTTCCTCCCCCCCCCCCAAATGCATGCAGACATTAATCAATGACCAGAAATATGATACTGATTAAGGTGACAGAAGCAATCTTGGAAATCTTCATTGTTGCCTGAATTGGAAACTTTATGGGAACAGAATGCAACCAGTCTAATTCAATTTATCAGTTTCAAAAGGCAGTTTAATTCCAGATAAGTCCCATGCTTTTGAAAATAGGTTAGGACCAAAGGATTCACTGTGAGTAGTGATTGCAGATAGTCAATTTATAGTTCTGTGGATCCACGGAAGATAGGTTTGTTTTTGTTTTCAAGGTCACTCTATTTGGTGGGGTAGAGGAACAGGACATTGAATTTGAACTCTGGGCCTGCCAATTCATGAGTCATCACACTAATCTGACTCAAACTTATTTTCCCCGACATCCTTAGACATGAGCCAGGGCTGGTATGAACTGTCTGGGGAAGCCCTCAGCCAGACTGATGACAACCCAGCTCCAAGAGCTGGGCCAGAATTAGATCAGCTTGGGAATTCAGTGAGGTGTATGTCTTCCCTTCACATTTTCCGATTACTACCTACAGAGCTTAGAGGATTATAAGACTGTCTTCTTTTGGCCATGTTATTGTAGAATTTATTAAACTTAGGAAGAACCTAAGTAATGTGCTATGTGTGCCATCATCTTACGTAAACTACAAAGTCAGTGTAGAAATGGTAGTTGGGAGTGCACTCTTCTCATTTCTAAAAGAAAGGTAGAAAATTTGAAAAAAAATCCTTTTTAAAAATTACTTGAACTCCCCACGTCATGCTTTCTACAATGTTCTCGCCAAAGGCATTATGAGACTGAAATCTATGTAACTGAATAACCATATCTCTTCAGCAGATGCTTCCTACCACTGATTAGTGGTTATGTTATTTTGTTCTTCCTAAACTGGGTCTATCCTCACAAAAAACTCTTTGTTAGCTATCCCACTGATTGCTAAGTAGTTAACAATAAATTGATTTCAGTTTAAATTAGGCTACTTCAGCAAAGCACTGGTCTGCATGAGAAAAGTGTTCATTGCTTTTAGACCCAGACACACACATAAATTAACAACAAGCTTTCCCTCTTGGTACAAAATGATTCATGTACATTGGACAGGGTCTATGTCTCTCTCCTTGGTGCAGATTTTAACTAGGGGGAACATCCATTGTAAAACTTTAGCATAATCTTATAAAATTATTTCTTCATTGTAAACAGATTTTTCTCTCTCAATAAGGGTATGAATTAGTCAGTTTAAAAGTTGATCTAGAGTATTTCCTAGTGGCTTCTTAAATTTTAATATCCATCATTAATAGCTTTATCTTCCCTTTCCTCTCATTAATTCAAAGCCCAAGACATATGTCTTTACTTAGGTAGTTGGTATATTGCTTCTCACCTGTTCCCTGTTATATAAGTGTATTGTTAAGCATCACCTTCACCCTTTAAAATTCTTTTTACTGCCTTTGACAGTTTTAAAGGATTTGGTGGTTGCATTTTATAGTGATATTTAATACTCAAGTTACCAAATATGGAATGTTCAGTTAATAATTAAGTATTTAAACCAAAAAAGGCAGTATATTTTAAGAATATAACAATATAAAGCAACTATCCGCACAAATATAATCCTAGATAATGTTCTTGGTTCTATTGTTGCTAATGAGTCAGTATATGTGCACCATTGAAAATATTATGATGAAGTATTAACCCGTGCAGCTCAATGAAAGAGTTTGCCGAAACAATATGTATCCTGGTAGCTTGAAAAAGTTAATTCCCCATTTCATAGTGCCTGACATTCTCAGGGAGTATCTCTTTGAAATAATAAAGTGTGTGTGTGTGTGTGTGTGTGTGTGTACACATAAAACATACTGTCTGAGTTCTTCTAGAATGACAAAAAAATGTTTTACCATACAAATATGGAAGGAAAATTTAATCATAAAGCTAAAAGTGATGATAGCTAATGTTTGTCATCCAATTTACAAAGCATTTAAATATAATATCTCATCTGAGATTCAAAACAATCCTGTGGGGTAGATGTTATAGGTATTAGTATTCCCATTTTGCAGATGAAGAAGCTAAGGTCCATAAGGGTTAAGTGATTTACCTATGGTCCCACAACTAGTCAGTGTTCAAACTCAGGTTTTTTCTGATTCAAAATCCAGCTATGTCACGCTACTTTCCAGGTCATATTATTTGGAGCTGTATCATGGAAATCAGAGGTGTAAGAAGACTTAGTTTCTACTTGTCATTTCCAAATAAAGAAAACTGACCAAAGAAAAGTCAAGTAACTTACCCAAGGCCACGCAGGTAGTAACTAGCAGCTTCTTTGTATCTTCTACAATACGTTACAACTTATGAGTGGTAGGTCAAGAAAACAATAAATATTTACTGAGTGAATATTGACTGAGGCTGTATAGTAGATTGAGTGCTAGACTTGAGGTCAAGAATTCAAGTTTGAATCATGTCTCAGACACTTATTAACTGTGTGGTCATGGGCAAATCACTTAATCTGCAAGGCTTGGTTTCCCCATAGGTACAGTGGAGATGATAAGTTTCACTACCTTTTTCACAGAATTTTGTGGCAAAAGTCCTCTGCAAAACCTTAATTGTTGTTGTTGAGTTGTTTTTCAGTTATATCCAACTATTTCAACCCCATCTGGGGTTTTCTTGGCGAAGATACTGGAGTAGTTTGCCATTTCCTTCTCCAGCTCATTTTACAGTTGAGGAAAATGAGACAAACAGTTTTAAGTGACTTGCCCAGGATCACACAGCTAGTAAGTGTCTGAGGCCAGATTTGAACTCAGAAAGATAGTCTTTCTGATTCCAAGCATGGCACTCCATCCACTGTGCCACCTAAACATTAATGTACTATATAAATGTGAATTGTTTACAGTTATCCCTTTAACATCACCATGTATCGTGGGTCAGCATAAGAAATTAAATGGGAATTTGGGAGGAGTTTTGCAGAAGCAACAGACCACACACAAAGGCCAGCAGATGACACGGAAGAAGTTTAGAAACTCAGAAATGTATAAAATATAGGTATAGTATTGTATAATATCAACCCAAATTTTACAATAAGGTACTGTAAACACCCCACAAAAGAAAAAGAAAAAAATTAGACTGCTTCTCTGGTGTGCAGGGAGGGCCAAAAAATTTTATGTGGATTTTCCAGGTTGTGGGGGTACTATCCCCCTAATCCCCACGATGTGGAAGGGATAACTATATTATAGGAGCATTGATTCTGAGCTAGAAGGATCCTTAAAGGCCATCTAAACCAAACCCTTCATTTTACCAAGGTCCACACAGCTTAGTAAATGGCAAAGACAGGTCTTAAAGGTATGTATTCCTGCCTCTGATGCTCTGTCCACTATGAACTTTGTTGTTATTGTTGATGATGACGACGATGTTATCATTAATATTATATGAATATCTGTGATATATTTGCTCTGATTCAGCTCTCTGATTGTGTCCCCCGTTAACCAGTAGTCTATATATGGTGTATGGGTGGACAAGGTCAGAGCTATAATCTGCAGCTACAGAGCAACAGAAAGATGCTCAGTCCATGTAGATAATGGGCCTATGACTTTATGAGTATCAAGTTCCCAACCACTGAACCGAGCAGCTTTTCTTCTAAAAATCAGCTCCTTCACAGTTGAAACCACACCTGATGTTGAAAAATCCCGAACTTCAGTCAGACATTCCCTTTCCCAAGCGTCCAAGCAAATGGCATTTAGAACTAGAACCACCAACCAAATAGGCAAAATTCTGTAAATACTTTGATGCCTTTTGTCCAGTCCAGCTACTTTTCCTCTGCTTCCCTTGATAGGATGCTTGTCAGGATTCTCAGCAAGGAGAGGAGTTGTAGCAGGAATGTTCTCCTGCTGAGGAATGTTGCTGACCGCCACCCACCTCACCAACCACTCAATGGAATGCTTCAGTAAATGAAAAATGGCTTCTCAGATAGGAATACCTGCACAGAAATGTTCTTATAGCCTTGGATCTGAAGCAAATATTTTGAGCAGCTAGGTGGTACAATAAATAGAGTACTGGTGTAGGTGTCAGGAAGACCTGAGTTCCAATCTGGCCTGAGACACTCACTAGCTTTGTGACTCTGGGCAAGTCATTTAAGCTCTGTTTGGCTCAGTTTCCTCATCTGTCAAATGGAGATAATAATAGCATCTATCTCCCGGTGTTGAGGGGATCAAATGAGATAATAATTGAAAAGTCCTTAGCATAGTGCCTGGCACATGGTAAGCAGATAAATGTTAGCTATTATCAATTTTTTAAATTATTATTTCAAGGGTACCCTTAGTCTTCAGAGAACCATATATATGATCTTTCCAAGTGCATTTCATAATGGGAACACCACATAGGCATAATGCTTATAGTTTGATTTAAGAAGTCTAGTAAGAAAATTTTTTTCTTCTAGATTACCTCTGAATAAAAGTGAGATTTTAGCTATATTGGTCCAAATGTTTGAAACATCACTGTAAAAAGTTCTGCATTTTGTTAAAGAACAATGCTGGCTTTCCCTGAAAAACATGATAAAAAGGAGATCAAAATGAGTTGCTTGGTGTCTCTCAAGCTCTAAAAGAAAGGCTTCATTTACCAAAAGTAGAAACCCAGGACAGGTGTTTCACAAGTCCAGTAAAGCCTTTCCAATACATGGAAGACTGGTGTACCTGTATGAACAAAAATGAAAATGGCAAAGAACAGATTACTAGGTGGTGCAGTGGGTAGAGCACTGTGCCTAGAATCAAGAAGACCTGAATTCAAATCTTCCCTCAGATACTCGCTAGCTGTATGACTCTGGGCAGGTTTTCTCATCTATAAAATGAACTTGAGAGACCCCAAGCAACTCATATCTACTTCCTTTTCGTGATGTTATTCAGGGAAATCCAACCTCAGATACTAATGAGTGATGTAACATTGGGCAAGTAACATTCTTCTTGCCTCAGTTTCCTCAATTGTAAAATATATAATGTAATACTACCTGCTTCCCTGGGTTGTTGTCAGGATCAAATAAGATAAAATTTGTAAAGCCCTTAACACAATGTCTGGCACATAGTAGGCATTTAGTGGATTCTATTTCCTTCCCTTTGTTTTTTCCTTTCTCTTTTCCTCTTCTTCTCCATCCTTCCTAATTTGTTCAAGTTCTGCTTCTGACATACATACCTGTCCTATCACTAAGTCATTTAGGCTCTAAGTTCCCAGGCAGCTCTCTAAGACTCAAAGTGGCACAGCAAGTCTAGACCTGCATTGGTAGGAGGCTGTTTTTCATACTAAACGTTTTCCCTGATAGAGAGCACATTCCTTGAGGGCCAGAATGTTTCTTCTTTTTGCCTGACACATAGTAGGTATTTCATAAATACTGATTAGTGGAGTGAATGAATAAAAATATATGCATTAAAAGCCTATGTTTTCTGAAGGATATTCTGGCTGGTGAGCATAATTTACCTTTACTTGGGCATTCATTGCCCTCTCTTCTAATGTTTATCTCAGCATCAATTTAATTTAAAAAAATCCTGCAAATACTTGTTCTTTGCAAAGCACTATGCTAAATCAAGCTTATTGAGATTTTTATAATAGGAGAAATCTCTTTTCCCATGAAACCATTTATTTAAGTTATCTTAGTTTCATGGTAGTAATAGAAATTACCCAAAGCTATAAAGGGACACAGGTTACACCCATGCCCAAAGGAATGAAGAATTTAATTTCAGATCAGTTTCTGGTATATATTATAGCCTTTCTTTTGCATATCCTCTGGAGACCTTTCACTAACAGGTTATCAAATATTCCAGTGGAAAACTTTTCATCATATTTTAGAGAATGAGGAACTATCTACCCCTAATTCATCTCTTTAAAAATCATGGGCATTTGGCCTGAGCCAGTATGTTATATGGATATTCTAGGTAGCAAGCATGGGGACCAAAACAATTAAAAAGTGATGTCAAAAATATTTCCTTTTGATAGATTCTTATGACTTTAGGAAAATTCATATATACAAATATATATATATATATATATCTATACACACATACATGTATACACATATATGTATATATTTATATATAGTTGATCATTTGAAAATGTGACTTTCAAAAGACGAGACTGCACCTCTCTCCCTTAGTTGTAGAGATGGGGGGAGGACTATGGCTGTGGAACACTCCATATAATTTTGGCTTTGGTTGATGGGTTAATTTTACTAAATTGTTTTTTCCCCTCTTCTTCTTCATTTGTTTTAAAGGATGACTCTCTGGGAGGAGAGAAGATATATTTGGAAATGAAGGTGGTGTGAAAATGAAAGATAAAACTTTTCTTTTAATGTGACTTTTCTAATTTAACCTTCTTTACCATTTGGGGACCATCATCTTCCATTGTCATTCATTAAAATTCTGTGCCTGAACAAAGTACTTAAGTAGAAGTACCCATGGAATCCTTGTTAAGCTTCTTCTTTTATAGGTTTTCAAATAGAAAAGGAAAGTGAAAGCAGTCATTTGGATGCTTAAGAATGGTGGATGAAAATTGCCCTTTAGAGATTTATATAACCAGTTTCTCTTGTACCAGTTCAGAAATGAGTAACTCTTTTCTTTACTTCAGCCCAGAGAGTATGGGACTGCTTGACCCTGCCACCAGTGATGGACGAGTTATTTTCTTCTTGCCCTGGCAAAAGATGACCATAGCTGGGACAACTGATAGTCCGACTGATATCACCTCACATCCTATTCCTTCGGAGGAAGACATTAACTTCATCTTGAGTGAAGTACGCAACTACCTAAGTTGTGATGTTGAAGGTAATACTTAGTCGGCTTCCTTAAATTTTGTCTTTCTTTAGTTTTTTGGAAAAGTATACTATGTCTTTCCTCTGTCTTCTAATCTTCACACATATCGTCACTAGAACTGGAGTTATGAACTTTAGAAGGCTTTTGGAAGATGTTCATGCCATAGTGACCAGTTTACATGATAATACATGGTTTTCTTGTCTACCACCAAGTTCCTCTGCTTACGTTCTATACTTTCTGGTTAAACATGGTTATTGTACTAGTAAGATGTATAGTATGAATTTCCTATCACTTCTGAGCCAGAGTGAAGCTTTGAGTGTTATTTGTTTTGTATCCAGAGGTCCAGAAAAGGGGAAAAAAGACTTTAGGGAATAAGCAAGTCAAAAGAGATGTGATAGCTGAGGCTTTGGTTCTTACAGTCTTGCTAAGAATGTAATAGTCCCTCCTTGTTGAGAAAGTGCAGTATTGATGACTGAATTTAGCTAAGAAGATTCAGAGATTGCATTCTTTTGTTTAGTTAAAAAGTCTACTTTTTGATATTATTCTTCATAAAGAGTGTTTGTAGGTTTTGGGGTTTTCCTTCCTTTCTTCCTTCCTTCCTTCCCTCCTTCCCTCCTTCCCTTTCTTCCCTTCCTTCCTTCCTTCCTTCCTTCCTTCCTTCCTTCCTTCCTTCCT